TCTTTAACCCACCTGCTCTCCCTCCCTCCCGCCCAGGCGCTTCAGACCTGACGGCCTTCAGCGACCCCCGGGTGGGCATCGACCGCTCCTTCCCGGCGCTGCCGTCCATCTCCGACCCGCGGATGCACTACCCGGGGGCCTTCACCTACACGCCCACGCCCGTCAGCTCCGGCATCGGCATCGGCATGTCCGCCATGTCCACGGCCTCCCGCTACCACACGTACCTCCCGCCGCCCTACCCGGGCTCCTCGCAGGCCCAGGGCGGCCCTTTCCAGGCCGGCTCCCCTTCCTACCACCTGTACTACGGCACCTCGGCCGGCTCCTACCAGTTCTCCATGCTCTCCGGGGGCGACCGCTCCCCGCCGCGCATCCACCCGCCCTGCACCAACGCCTCCACGGGCTCGGCGCTGCTCAACCCCAACCTGCCCAGCCAGAGCGACGTGGTGGAGGCCGAGGGCAGCCACAGCAACTCGCCCACCAACATGGCCAGCACGGCGCGGCTGGAGGAGGCCGTCTGGAGGCCCTACTGACCCCCCGGGAGCACCCCCGGGGGCAGGACTGCCGCGCTTTCCCGGTGCCCGCGGGCGTCCCGCCGGCGCCCGCCCGCCGTGGGTTTGAGGAGCGAGCCCTCCAGGAGCTGTGGCACGGGCCCTGGAGAAGCACCAGGACGTCCCTGAGCTTCTGGGGGAAAGGAGGACGCCCCGGTTCGGTGGCCCGTTTGTCTGGGTAGGAAGGTTTGTCTCCGAGGCCCCGTGGCTTTTCCTGGGCTTTATGAAGGTTCTCCGAAAAAAAAAAACAAAAAAAAAAGAGAGAGAAAGAGAGTGTTTCGGTTCACTTCTATTTTTAAGACTTAAAAACTAAAACCAAAAAAACCAAAAAAACACCAAAAAAAAACCCACAAAAAAAAAATAAAAAACCCATAGTGAGTTTACTGCATCTTATGGACATTTTAACTCTAAAGAAAGTATAGGAAGATTCCCAGAGGGAAACTGTGAACGCTCCTGTTTTAGCAATGCTGTGAATTAGAGGGTTTTTTTTATATGTTGGACTTTGTCCTTTCTTTGCTTTGTTTTGTTGGGGTGTTTGTTTTTTTTTTAAACCACGTTGTATATCCCAAAGAATATGGAATTTTTTT